GAGACAGGGCTGCCCCCAGCCCCTCGCAGCCTCACTTTTTCCAAACTGCATTTTTAAAGTATATAAAACCTCCGAAATACCTTGCTTGCAGCCCCGGGGGGGGGGACGGGGATGGCTCTTGTGAAGTTGCAGAGCAGCGGTGTTTTCGGGCACCCAGCCGTGGTGCAGGCGGGTTGCTCAGCATCCCCGTGGGGCTGTGCCAGTGGTGGGGCTGGCATCACTGCCCGCCTGGCGCCAGCTGGGCCTGTACCCAGCACCTTCCTGAGGTGCCTGCCGAGGCTCTGGCCCACAGGCTCTGCATGCACCCGTGTCCTGCCCGGTCACAGGGGGTGGCGATGGTCTGTGAGCCCTCTGGGCTGTGCTGCTGTGTCCTGCCCCCCCTCCCCAGGCAGATTTGGGGATTGCATGTGTGGGACCCCTTGCTAGATGAGCTGATGTGCTGCTGTCCAGCAAAACCTGGACAGGGTGGAGAGCTGGGCAGAGAGGAACCTGATGAACTTCAATAAAGGCAAGTGCAGGGTGCTGCACCTGGGGAGGAATAACCCCCTGCACCAGCACAGGTTGGGGGTGACCTGCTGGAGAGCAGCTCTGAGGAGAAAGACCTGGGAGTCCTGGTGGACAACAGGATGCCCATGAGCCAGCAATGGGCCCTTGTGGTCAAGAAGGCCAATGGCATCCTGGGGGGCATCAGGCCAGCAGGTCGAGGGACTTCATCCTCCCTCTCTGCTCTGCCCTGGGGAGGCCCCATCTGGAGCACTGGGTCCAGTTCTGGGCTCCCCAGTTCCAGAAGGACAGGGAACTGCTGGAGAGGGGACAGCAGAGGACTACAAAGATGATGGGGGGCCTGGAGCATCTCTCGTAGGAGGAGAGGCTGAGGGACTTGGGTTTTTTTAGTCTGGAGAAGAGAAGGCTGAGAGGGGATCTGATCAACCCTATAAATACTTAAAGGGAGGGTGTCAGGAGGATGGGTCTATTCTTTTCTCAGTGGTGCCCAGTAACAGGACAAGAGGAAATGGGCACAAACTGGAGTTCCACCTAAACATGAGGAGAAACTTCTTTCCTGTGAGGGTGGCAGAGCCCTGGCAGAGGCTGCCCAGGGAGGTGGTGGAGCCTCCTTCTCTGGAGACGTTACGAACCCTGCTGGACATGTTCTTGTGGGACCTGCTCTGGGTGGACCTGCTTTGGCAGGGGGGTTGGACTGGATGATCTCCAGAGGTCCCTTCTAACCCCATGTGATTCTGTGATTCCACATGTGCTGAGGGTCATTCCCACCCAAGAGAGATCAGCAAAGCCATGTGCTGGACCCCAGCCCCTCACCCCCCCGATGCCACCCTGCCTGAGCCCCAGCAGGATTTGTTCCATGAAACTGGTGGGGAGGGAGGAAAATGCCATCCTGGAGATCACACAAGGATGCCATGGAGAAGGACAAAGCCCAGGGAAGGGGTGGGTGGCACCAGAAGGGCTGCACTGGGGCCCTGGGCCATGTCAAGCATTGCTCTGGCTCTGTTCATTGGCAAAACTCCAAATGGCTGGTGCTTCTGCCAGGATGCGGCTGGTCTGATGTTGAGAGGGGTGAGTGGTCCAGGGCTTGAGGCCACTGGACTCGGGAACTTCATCCTTCCCTTCCATGAGGACTTCAGGGGTTTGCTCCACTGCCAGCTGGGACGCAGAGCTACAAACCAGAGGCAGCAGCAGGGGTTTTGGCCTCCTGGTGCCATCTGCTGCTGTTTCCCCCCCGCCCAGGGCAGAGCTGTGCTGGGCTTAGCGTCTTCTCCTGGAGCGAGCTGGAGATAACATCAGGGAAATGCCCTTTCCTCCCCAGCGATGGGCCCTGGCTGCCCCTTGGCACTGCTGTGCTGGCTGGGAGCAACAAACACGGGCAGGTACCAGCTTATCCTGGCTGCTGCGGGCTGTGCCCTGCCCGGGCTGGCATCCAGCGCCCTGCCAGCCTGTCCTGGTTGTCCTTGGCCACGTGCTGGAGGCTGCTGCCAGGTCAGGGTGACAGGGTGGGAGGAAAGCGTCCTGCAGGCAGCAGGGCCTGGGTGCTGCTCTGCTCCAGGGCAGGGTGTGGGCTGGGGGCTTGGGAAGGGGTGGGAGGGCTGTGGAGAGGCACCACTGTGGCTGGGCATGGGCTGCAGCGCCCTGTGGGAGGACACAAGGACCACTTTTCCCCCCCCTGTAGTGGAGGTGGTCATAGTCCCTGGTCCCCTTACAGCCTCGGGCATCCCAAGCAAGGAGATGGGTTGGGTTGTGCTAACACAGGGAAGGACAACCCTGCCCCTGAGCATCAGACACCCTGGCCGGCTCTGCCATGCAGCTCCTGGGCTTCACTTCCTCTGGAGACTTCTTGCATAGATACCTGATTCCTGCCCCAGTGTGGGCTTACAGTCCAGCCTGATCAGTCAGCCTCCCAGAGCCACCTCTTCTCCTCCTGCTGCTCCCAGTGCCACTGCCAGCCGTGCCCAGGGCTCTGCCTGTGGGTCCTGCAGGTCCCCAGGGTGGTTTCTCTTTAGCTTGAAGCTGTGCAAGCAGGTCCTGCCATGGTCCTGGGCTGGTGTGTGCTGGCAACTTGTGCGTGGAGCAGGCTTGGAAGACTGTCTTCTGCCAAGAGCTTTGCTTTATTCCTGCCTGCAGGGTTTTAAGCATCACCCATAGCTCCAGCCTGGGCTTCATGTGACCATGAGTTTTCCCTTGGATGTGGTCATTCAGGGACAGCTTCTCCCTGCTGTTCCTTCGGCCCCTTTGCCAGACCCATTTGCTGACAAGCAAAGCAAATGCACTGTGCTCGTGGCACCCTCCTGGTAACCCCCAGGGCGAAATGGATTATTGCCTACTTATTTCTGACAAGGGGACCTTTGTGCTTCTCCTGAGGTGGTTTATTTGAGCCTGATCAAAAACTTCCTGAAAGCCCAAGTCTGCTGTGTCAGCTGGGTTACTCTTCCCAGCAACCCCATGGGCTGCATCGGGTCTTGATAACTTGCTCTGCAGCACTCAGGGGCTGGTTTGGGCAAGCTTTGGGCAAGTGTGATTCCCCCAGGCCCTTAGCGTGCCTCACAGGTGGCTCCTTTCTGGCTACAGCCCAGCAGGAGCCTTTGGGCCAGTGCCTGGAGATGTGTCCTCCTCTGGGAGACTTGCAGAAGGGGTGGCTAGGTACAAACTGGGTTAAGTGGCACTTGGTTGGTGTCAGAATAGCTTTGTTGGCCAAGACTAATATTGCAAAGAAAGCAGTTGGTATGCAGGAAGAGCTATTTCTTCAGCTGGAAGGAAATTCCTTTATTTTGCTTGATGCAGAACAATGAAGCAAGCCCTGTGGCACTGCTTTGGATGCACCCATCGGGCAGGAAGGACTCGGTGCAGTCATGCAGCAGGAACGCTGCTGGAAAGGGCACATTTGTCTTCAGGAACACAAAACCCTTCCAGTTCAAGGGTGCTATTTGCTAATGAGTTGTGTGCCTTCACCCTGGGGTGAGCAGAGGAGGCTTTGCTCCCTGCTGCTGGTCCCCAGCACCTCAGGTGTTGGATGTGAGGTGTGCTTTGGGGTTCAGAGCTGTCCCACTGTGCTGCGGCTGAGACCTGCCCGCAGGACCCATCTCTCTCCGCGTGTCCTCAGAGTCCCAGTAGCGTGTCCAGCCTTCCCCTGTGCTGTCTGCTCCGAGGGGACCCACCAGACGCTGTGGGCTTTGCCATCGCATCCCACCCTTCTTCCTTTCCTCCACCCTCTGTGTTCAGGGGTTGAAGACTGCTTGACCTGTCCTCAGAGTAGCACAATCATGGAGCAGAGCCTGCCAGAGGTGGTGCCTGCTGCTCCCCATGAGCTCTGGCTGCTCCTGCCCTGGTTCACACCAGGCTTTGCTGCACTTTGAGCAAAGCAGGGCTGGTCCTGGCTCTGGAGAGCAGGAGGGAAGGGCTTGTCTCTGCTTGTTTGTACTTCCAGCAGCTCCTAATCCCTGTCACAGGGTTTCCATGGAGAAGAACATGTTCTGGGGCCATGCCATGCTCTCTTGTGCGACTCCTCTGGCTCTGAATGGGTAGCTCTGCTCTTGGCTGGCAGCACGCTTCCCCACTGCTGGGCATGGGCAGGTTTGGGACGGTGACTCCAAGGCAGAGATTTCCTGGAAGAGATGGCTCTGCTGTCACTTAGGGCTGTTCTCCAGGGGTGGGCAGTGTTCCTGGGTGAGACCTCAGGTCTGTGGGCTAGATTTAGGGTGTCAGTGAGGAGGCTGCTTGAGCTCGAGGAGGATCTCGTGACTTGGCCCGTGTTCACCTGGGCTGTCAGAGCCCTGTTATCTCTGTGCCAAAGAGCTTGGGCTTGAAATTACATCCGAGGTCGGTGGGAGTTGAAGCTGAGACCTTGTTTGTCAGCTGTTGGCAGAGGAGCGTGGGGCAGCTGAGCTGCAGCAGGGCATCCCATGGCTCAATGCACCCTGAGTCTGAAGGAGGTCCTTGTTTCATGGTCTGGCTGCTGGTGCCTGCACGGTGGGGAGACATTGGGTTGAGATTTGGTGTCACCAGAGTGAGGACTATGGGCTGGCATGGTTGGAGACAGAGCACTCAGCCCCACCAGGGCTGACCTTGTCCTTGCCATGGGGTGGGCTGGTTGAGAGCAGCTCTGGACCCTGGGACAGAACATCTTCCCTGTGCTGCTTCCAGGTACCGCTTGCCTGGACGCTGAAACCCCACGCCTTCCATGAGTGGGTTTGGGGCATCTCACCTGCCAGCAGAGCTCACACTGAGCCGCTTGATCTGTTGGCCGTGGGTTGGTGAGGAAAGAGCAGGGTCCAGCACCAGGCTGGCAGCAGGGGAGCCTCAGAGCTGCCCTGGCCACCACTGTGGGGTTGTGGGGGGTTGCTGACCTGGCCCTTATTTTCCCTGTTTCTCTTCTTAGCTCCTGCACCTCTGCAGCCGAGAAGGAGATGGGAGGTAAGTGACCAGCCTCTCCTGCTGACAGGAGATAGCCTGAAGGTCCGTCTGATCTGGGCGCTGCAGGCCTGGCATGGGGGAAGGACCTAGATCCCACAGCTTGAAAATATGAGCTGGATGATGAACATCTCTGTTCTTGGCCAACCCTGCTTCTCTGCAAAGGCTCAGCCCTTGCTTGGGCAACAGAGCAGGCTGGGTGCATTGCAGCCCTCAAAGGGTTCTTCTGAGGTCCAAGCCAGAGTCGTTCTCCCCTTCACCCATGGCAGGGGCTCCCAGGGAGGCTTGTAGGAGCTCAGCAGGGCTGCATGGCCCATCTCCATCCATCCTCTTCCACCCCAGGAGCGGAGCAAAGGGAGAAGCAATACCGAGCCCATCGGGGATTTGGGGATCGCCGCGATGGGGTCATCAGCGCCCGCACGTATTTCTATGCTGATGAGGCCAAGTGTGATCAGCACATGGAGACTTTCCTCCGCTGCATTGACGCCTCAGGTAAGTGCTCCATGTGAACTGAGCAGCCCCACTGTGCTTGGGGACTGCAGGGACCCTGCAGCCCACCATCATATCTCGGGTACTTCCTCTCTTCCCAAGCACCCTGCCTGTCAGGCTACCTCTGTCTTTGTGGCTCCATCCAGGTGGCAGCTCAGAGGACGGCTTCTCGGCCATCAAGCTGACAGCACTGGGCAGACCTCAATTCCTGGTGAGTGCCAGGGCTGTGACCAGGGCAAGGTGGGTCAGAGTCAGGGCCATGGATGATGCATCTTGGGGGGCAGGTGCTGTGGGGTGCCAGGCTTGCTGCAGTGGCGTCTCCACTGATGGCAGAGAGGAGCGGGCGCCAACAGGTTGTCCCCTGTGTGCCCAACACCACTCTGGAGACCCTGCTTCAACTTTTGGGGACACATGAAGAGCTCAGAAGTTTAGAGGTCCCTACATAAGGGTGTGGGGGTTCTGTGCTGCTGTCCTCTTCTAATGGATCAGAGTCTACCTCAGGCTGGGTATGGTCTTGCAAAGCCCTGTCATGACAGGAGGCTCCAAGCTGGCTGGACCCCAGCCTGGGTGTCTCACCTCAAGTCTGCCCCTGCAGCTGCAGTTCTCGGAGGTGCTGGTGAAGTGGCGGAGGTTCTTCCACCAAATGGCCGCGGAGCAGGGCCAGGCTGGGCGGGCAGCAGTGGAGATGAAGCTGGAGGCAGAGAAGCTGCAGGTAAGGCGGGTGATGTCTGAGGGAGGAGGCTGCACTGCTGGGGATGTGCTGTTGGAGGTGGCCTTGGAGGTCCTGGAGCAGCCCTGTGACACCTCTGAGCCTGGAGCAGTAAGACCCCTTGGCACTGATGCTCTTTTTGGTGGCAGGAGGCCCTGGCCAACCTCGGCATCGCGACCAAGGCGGAGAGCCAGCACTGGTTCACGGGCGAGAACCTGGGTGTCAGTGGGTAAGCTGCCTGCGGGTTGGGGACGCTGGGGACCTTGTCCCTGTTCGTGGGGTGGTGGGGTAGCAGCAAGGGGAGGTCTCCAAAGGCTAGCACTGGCTCAGCACAGTTACCAAGCATAGAGGAGGTTTGGGTGGAGGTAACAAGACAGGTCAGGGTGGCACATGCTGTGCACCTTGTGTGATGGTGGGGATCGGGAGCCGGTAGAGACCCCCCTGCAAGACACCAGTATGAACCTGTCTCTCTGCTCCAGCACTGTGGACCTGCTGGACTGGAACAGCCTGATTGACAGCCGCACCAAGCTCTCCAAGCTGCTGCTTGTCCCCAACACGCAGGTGGGAATCTGGGGGAACAAGGTGTGGGTACACTCCCCCAGGCCCTGCCTGGTGGCTCATGGTGGGCAGCAGCGCTGACTGGTCGCTGCACCGCCAGAGCCCGGCCATGCTGTGATCCACCATGTGTGGCCACCAAGTTGGCAGCGTGGTCACCCTGTGCACGCTGTGCTGGCCAGGGGGTGCTGGGGAGCTGGGGTGGGCAGCAGCTCATGGGACAGGGAGTCCTTCTGTCTCCTGGGGCTGGTTGGGAGGGGTTGGCCACATGAGGGTGCCAAAAGCTCTTCTCCTTTCAGACCCGGCAGCTGGAGCCTCTGCTCTCACGCTTTACTGAAGAGGAGGATCTGCAGATGAAGCGGATGCTGCAGCGGATGGACACACTTGCCAAGGTGGGGGGATGCCAGGGCTGTGGGAGGTGGGCATGGGTGCCGCTGCCGAGGGGCAGGCATGTAGCAAGCGGCACCATGAACCTGACCTGCATGTCATTCACCCCCCAGAGAGCCACGGAGAAGGGTGTGAGGCTGATGGTGGACGCAGAGCAGAGCTACTTCCAGCCAGCCATCAGCCGCCTCACCCTGGAGATGCAACGCCGCTTCAACAGGGATCGGGCGATCATCTTCAACACCTACCAGTGCTACCTGAAGGTGAGGTGTGGCAGAAGGCTGGTCAGGAAGGACCTTCTGGACTAGCTGGATGGAAGCCTTGGCTTCTGAAGCCATGGCAATGTGATGACACAAGTCTAGGGCTGGCTGCCTGAAGGCACAGGGCAGACATGGCACTGATGAAATGACCTGGTGCCATCTCTTCCCTCTGGTCCCAGGAGGCTTATGACAATGTGACGGTGGATGTGGAGCTGTCACGCCGGGAGGGCTGGCACTTCGGCGCCAAGCTGGTCCGTGGTGCCTACATGGAGCAGGAGCGGCAGAGGGCAGCCCAGATTGGCTATGAGGATCCCATCAACCCCACCTATGAGAAAACCAACGAGATGTACCACAGGTAGAGGGACAGCCATACTTCTCCCTCCCAGCCCACTGGCCATGGGCTTGAGTGGCCTCACCGTGCAGCCCTATACTACCCTGCAGGTGCCTGGACTATGTCCTGGAGGAGATCAAGCACAGCCGGAAAGCCAACGTGATGGTGGCATCTCACAACGAGGACACAGTGAAGTTTACCTTGCGCAGGTGGGTGCTGGGGAGGCAGCACATCATAGTAGGGACTGGGGACTTGAGGGATATGGGGGCCCAGCAGAGCTGCCGTGAGATGAGCTGTACTGTTCAAATCCTCTCTGCTCACCCATTGGGGTCCTGGTGCTCAGGGCTTTGACTGGGGCTTGGAGTTGGGGCGCAGTGTGGGAGCTCACAGTGGCTGCAGAGCTCGCCCCATGGCCCAGCCCAGAAGCTGTTTTAAAAATAAAACCCTCAAGTCCTTGCATTCCAGCATCCATCTGGGACATGGTCAGTGCTGTGCTGTTGTACTTGAAGATGATCTCCACTCCTCTGGTGGGATGTGCTGCCCCTGTGTGTTCTGCTGTCTCCACTCTTCCCTAACATGAGGCTTGGCTTGCAGGATGATGGAGCTTGGGATCCATCCTTCAGAGAAGAAGGTGTGCTTTGGGCAGCTGCTGGGCATGTGTGACCAGATCACCTTCCCCCTGGGTGAGTGCTGGGAACAGGGGGCATTGGCAGACGTGCTTCTGCCCCACCTTGACCCCTGAGACCTCCCTAAGGAGCTGTTGTGGGGTCTGAAGGACAGATGGAGCTGGACTATGGGTCTGCGCTGGTGAAGGCAGGGCTGTCAGAGAGCAGGACTGGCTGAGGACAGGGCCTTGTTGCCTCTTCCCCAGCTGTGTGAGCGCTTTGTCCCCCGCCTAGGGTTTTTGGGAGTATGTAGATGAGGATGTAGATGGAGAATCACATCTGTCTCCTGGAGGCCCCATGAGACTGATGGCTGGGCAGCAAGATTCCTGCTTTGGACTCTGAGCTGAGCTCAGAGTACTCCTAGATGGGGCAGAGACAGGTCCTGGCCTTAGCAAACCCCTCTTGTACCTCCTTGGTCTGGGAGTGTTGCTTTGCTCCGCTGGAGGTGCACCCGAGCCCTGGGCTCTCCCCTTGTGAGGTGGCAACAGGCTCTTGGATGACCTTGTCCTCTGCCGCTGGCCGAGGCGGTGGAGCAGAGCCCCAGGGGCATGAACGGAGGGGACACGTGAGGGTCCAGGTAGGGGTCGGGGACGGAGCCTGGTGCCTGGAGCGGGGCCCTGAGGCCAGGAGCACAGCAGGAGGCCGGCCGGGCAGATGTCCAGCCTGGATGCTTCTCTGTCCTGGAGTTCCCCTTGCGAGCGGGGCTTGGCTGCCTGTCTGCAGCCTCCTCTGGTCATGCTGGAAAAATGTGTTAACTTGATGATTCTGGTTGAATGCTTCTTGAATTGGCCTGGCCCTGGCTGCCGACATTCCCAGGGCTCCCGGTGACCTCGGCCCACTCCCCCCAGCGCCGTCCCGAGCTGCCTGTGCTGGGCCGGGGGGAAGTGTCCTCCCCCCCCCATCCCTGGCACAGCCCGTGGGGCACGGAGCGCTGGGGGTAAGGGAGGCTTTTTTCTTTTTTTTTTTCTTGTGTGTTTTTTTTCCTTTTTTTTCCCCTTGTTTTTTCCTTCCTCCCCCTCCATTTTCTTCTGCCCTTTTTTATTCAGATGTTTCCTTTCCCCCCCCCCCCCTTTTTCCCCTTTTTTTTTTTTTTTCCTTTTTTTTTTTTTTTTTTCTTGTGTGTTTTTTTTCCTTTTTTTTCCCCTTGTTTTTTCCTTCCTCCCCCTCCATTTTCTTCTGCCCTTTTTTATTCAGATTTTTCCTTTCCCCACCCCCCCTGCTTTCCCCTTTTTTTTTTATTTTCCCTGTTTTTTTCTCTACCTGATTTTTTCCTTTTTTTTTTTTTTCTTTTCACTTTCTTGGTACTTCCCTGATCAGCCTCTCTCCCTCCAGGTCAGGCGGGCTTCCCTGTCTACAAGTACGTGCCGTATGGCCCGGTGAATGAGGTGCTGCCCTACCTGTCCCGGCGGGCCCAGGAGAACAGGGGTTTCATGCAGAGGGCGAACCGGGAGCGGGACCTTCTCTGGAGGGAATTCAAGAGGCGGCTCCTTGCGGGCAGCCTCTTCAGCCCCAACCACTAACCCCAACCGTGGCGTCCAGCCCGAGGTCTCTTGTGCCTTCACCTGTAACCACTGTTGCCATTCCCCGTCCTAGTTCTGCTGCAGTTTGCCCCCCCCAGCACCCTTTGCCTTGGGAGGGGACGTGTCCTTGTTGATGCTTGAAACCACAGCCACCTTCTGGAAGTCACTACTGTAGGGTTGCCCCAGCTGGCACTGCCCCGAGGGATGTCCCCCCGCCATCCCAGGGGATTTTGAGCTGTGTATGCCCTGGGCTCAGGGGGATGCCAGCCCCCTGCCAGCCCCCCTGCCTCAGTGAATGCTTGCCCAGGGTTTTCCCCATGTGGGGAAATTTGGCACGGGGAGATTTGGCCACCTCCTTTGTGCCATGGGTTAGGTCCAAGGTGGGCTGGGTGCCTGGAGGACAAGCTGGCCTCAGCCAGAAGGTCCTCTAGCCTCTGTCAGGGGCTTAGTCTCTCCCAGCTCCATGGAGGCAGATGCTGAAGCAGAGACCACAGTGACTGGGGACGGGATGAGTCCCTGCTGCCTGTCCCAGGGCAACCACTACCTGGCTGCTCACCAGCTTTGCACAGACCAGAGGTGGGCAGGTCCTGGGAAGGACCAGGCTCTTCCCCGCGTCCCACTGGGCTGAGCAGAGTCAAAGCTGCCCAGGGTTGTCCATCCTCAGGCCCACATCCTGTGGGGCAGGAGGGGCGAGGGGAGCTGGCTGGCCCATCCCTGCGCTGTTCCTGCCCTGGCTGTGGTCCCTGGCCACTGTGGGCAGGGGTGGTGGCCATGTGGGAGCATTGGGAGCTGGACCGTGGCTCAGCTCTGTTCTACACTGGATTTGCTGAGAATAGTGTTGATTAAATCACAACTGTTCTTGCTCCTGTCTCTCTCTTGGAGTTATTGGGCAGCCATCTGGGCTCTGCTTCACTGCCCTGGTCTCAAAGTGGGGGTTCTCAGCCACCTCCAGCTATGTTCCTTGGCCTGGGCCAGGGCTTGGAGAAAGGAGCCAGAGACGGGCTGTACCCAGTGAGGCCAAACTTCTCCAAGCATGGGAATGGAGAAGCCTTGGAGCTGTCTGTGCTGGAGGGAGCTCTGGAGCATCCTCCTACATGCAGAGGGGTGGTGGCAGCTGTGGGAGAACCTCCCCCCATCCTGAGGTCTGCTTCTGGGGGACAAGCATCCTTCAGGTTTTCACTGCCTCAAATTAGGGGCAGCTTTTCCTGGGCTTGTTTTGGGTTCTGCAGGACCACAAGTATCTCTGGGCTTCCCTTCCCAGCAGCTGATGCAGCATCTCCTTTTTCCCCAAGGGTCAGTCCTCTTCTCCTCTCCCTCCATTTCTGGTGAGCCACCCCCAAGCCAAACAGGCGAAGTTTAGGCTTTCCAGAGATGTTCATTGCCTGCCTTTTCTCTAGCTGAGGCTGCTATGCCTTAAAAAACCTGGAAGAGCAGAGAGTGTGGCTGGAGGGACAGGACTGCTGGTGTTAAAAGGCAGTGCTGGTGCAGGCAGTAGCTGGGCTCCTGGAATTTTGGGGAGGGGAGCAGATGCACTCCCAGTGCTGGGCTGCCTCTCTGGCCTGTACAGGATGCTGCAGTGATGGCATGGACCATGCTGCTGCCCCAGGACCTGGGCTCTGCCAGTGCGGCTGGACCCAGGGCTGGCTGGATGCAGAAGCAGCCCTCGCCCACCACAGGCTTCCACAAAGACCCTCTGGCACCTGCAGGAGCAGATGCTGCAGCCTCCATGCCAGCAGCTTCATCTATCTGTTCATGGCCCCTCTTTTTTAAAGGTAACCCCCTCCCCAGCCCTCTTTCCAAGACAGAAAGGACGGGAGCAGCTCCAGGCAGCTCTGCAGCATGTCTCTGGGGGGGGGGAGTGCTGCTGTTAGCAGGGGATCAGGGGTCAGGGTTGCAGGGTGCTGCCTCCTCTCTACCTGAGGCACTGGATGCCCTTGAAATCCCCCAAATCTCTGGATTCCCAGCAACCTTTACCTGTGCTCAGCCAGAAAGCAGTAACCGCTCCTTTTATTTCTGCCCAGAAAAAACCCCTCCCTGTGTTTCAGGCTTTCCCCACCCCGTTCAGTTTTAGCTCTTGCTGCTGGAAGCTGCTTTCTGCTTGTCCCAAAGGAAGAGAAGGCACGAAATGGTGGTGGCGAGGCTGGTAGACGGTGCTGCAGTGCGCTGGCTGTGAGGATGCTGGCTACAGCAGCAGGGGGAGTTGCAAGGGGAAGGAACCCATATCCCTGCAGCAACCAGCTCGGCCACCTCAGGCTAAAAGCGCTGTGAGCAGCCCAAGGGGGCATGTCTGAGGAGCAGACCTTTGCCATGTCCCAGCGGGATGGTGACCAACACCTCGTGTCCAGAGTGTGACCAGCAGGTCGAGGGTGGTCATGCTCCCCCTCTGCTCTGCCCTGGTGAAGCCCCATCTGGATCACTGGGTCCAGTTCTGGGCTCCCCAGTTCCAGAAGGACAGGGAACTGCTGGAGAGGGGACAGCAGAGGGCTACAAAGATGATGAGGGGCCTGGAGCATCTCTCATAGGAGGAGAGGCTGAGGGTCTTTTCAGTCTGGAGAAGAGAAGGCTGAGGGGGGATCTGATCAACCCTATAAACACTTAAAGGGAGGGTGTCAGGAGGATGATGTCAGTCTTTTTTTCCAGTGGTGCCCAGGGATAGGACAAGAGGAAATGGGCACAAACTTGAATGTAAGAAGTTCCACCTAATGAACTTCTTTCCTGTGAGGGTGGCAGAGCCCTGGCAGAGGCTGCCCAGGGAGGTGGTGGAGCCTCCTTCTCTGGAGACGTTACGAACCCTGCTGGACATGTTCTTGTGGGACCTGCTCTGGGTGGACCTGCTTTGGCAGGGGGGTTGGACTGGATGATCTCCAGAGGTCCCTTCTAACCCCATATCATTCTGTGATTCTGTGTGTCATATGAGTCCCCACTGGGCGTTCCTGCCCACTGAAACAGCAGCAGGGATTTTTGAACTGTGGACAAAACAATGTATTTTTATCCCTTAGTTTTGTGTTTGGAAATACTATAGTGTTGGGTTGCTTTTCTCCTTGCAACAGGAGGCAAGCACCTGGCGTGGTGTCTCCAGCCTGAAGTCTGAAAAATGAACTGCAAACAGTGTTGTAATGGAAAGCATCAAGCTGTGCTCACGGGGCACGGCCTCGCTGGGATGGAGGGGGAGGCCACCAGAGGGTGGCTGGTACCCAGGGGCTGTGCAGTGCCCCAGCCCTGGCAGCACCAGTCTGCCCAGACCATGCCACCCCCGTGAGCACCCGAAATCCTCCCTCCGCCTCCTCCCCACAGCATCCTCAGCAGCTTCTCCAGCCTCTGGCTACCAACCAGCAGTATCTGCCAAGGGACTGGCTTATCTCCCCGTCTACAGCCCAACCCCTGCCCTGACACAGGTTAGATCAGGTGAAAATGGAGCAGCACAGGAGCTGCTCCCTGCCTGCAGGAAGGGAGACAGGGCTGTTTACTGAAGCCAGAAAACAGTCAAAATCAAACACATCCTCACACAAAGCAAGAGCTTTGTGGGGAGGGTGGGGGGTGCAAGCCCACCCTGGCTTCTCGGGAGCAGGGCAGAGGAGCACCAGGCACTCTCAGCACTGTGGGGAGGTGGTGAGGAAGAGAATCCTGGTTATGGAAACAGCCAGAGCGAGGCCGAAGCTCCAGGTGGACATGGCTGCCACGGGATGTGACTGCTGAGCCCAGCTCCTTGCCTAACGTTGGAGTTAACCCTCTTCCCAGCCCATTTTCCCAGACAGAAGGGGATGCTGAGCTCAACCCAGGGCCAAGTTGTCCCAAGAGAACTCCTCATGCCTCAACACAGCTGGGTCACCACGGTCTTGCCCTTTCTGCACCAGCTGTGGGGGCTGAGCAGGACCACCCGTGTATTTCTGCAAGGACCACCCTCCAGACAGGTCTGCAAGCAGGACAGGGGGAACTGGGAGACAGGGACGTGGAGGAAGGGGGAGCAGGGCAAGGGATGGTGTTTCCTGGTGCTGCTGCCAAATATGTGGAAGGGGACTGGGGGCACATGAAAGGTGGTGGGGCTGCAGAGGGGAAAAAGGCGGAGGGCTACCCGATTCACAAGTCCATTTGAAAGCTCTGGTCTGAAAAGGAAAACTGGTGGGCTATACTGGGTAAACCATCAGCAAACCATCAGCGCCAAAGATGCTGCCAGGGCCATGGTCAGCCACAATGTGGTCCCTCCACACCCATGGTACAGGGAATGGGGAACAGGCAATCTCAGGCATGGTCACTGCCATCCGAGTCCCCGCCGGTGACCTGATGCCAGTGTCACTCAGTGGGAAGGAGGAACACGCTCAGCTTTGCTTTCCCAACTTGATGCCACAGAGGGTCCTGGCTGCTCCCTGCTGGGGCATCACACGTGCAAAGGCCGTGGGGCACCTGGGCTCCCTGCACCTGGCTGGACAAGGCACTGGACCAGGATGTCAGAAATCAAAAATTGCAGGTTGTCGGGTGGCTTCTGGGGCAGTCTCTGAAAGCCATTGGAAAGAATGCATGTTTGCAGGGGACATGTAGACTGTAGACTGGAAACCATCTGTGCACTTTGCACAAGCTACTGCCTGTGGCTGGGTGTTGGGAGGTCAGTGAGACTCTTGCAGGGACATTTATTGGCACATGACTGCAAAAAGAAAATAATTCCTACTGGCAAGACCACCAGAGAGGTTCCCCGTTGTGAACCTCTTGTCTGAGTGGGAAAGAAACCTTCCCTGCACATCAGCCTCATGTACTGCAAACACAGAAGGACATTGGTGGTGAGAACCCACCAAACTCATTTACTTTTTGCTTGTGGAGAGATTGCTGAGCTGGGAAGGTGCTCTGGACACCACCAGGACTCCCTAATTCTCTCCAGAAGGATGCTGTCCAAATCATGCCTACTGTGATGGAGGCTCCACATCCACAGGAACATCCCGGGGGTGTGGGACTCAGATCCAGCTCCGCAGGAGTTGCACGCTGTCCATACACCCTGCCACAGCTCCTCGGACGCAGCCAGCGCTTGGCAGGAGATGGATACAGCTATTTAGCTGCATTTCTGCTACAACATGGGAAATGGCCAAGGTGTCCTCCATCCCTGCTTTCACCATACAGCTGTCAGATGTCCCTGGAGCTCAGACAAGCCATCTCTTGTAGTGACCATTAAGCTGAAAAGCCAGCTGGCTCAGGCTGGTGGCCAGGGGAGGCCTGACCCATTCAGTATTGCTGTGCTGTCAGGCTGAGGGGCTTATTGACCGGGCTGCCCTGCTGGGTTAGGAGTGTGGAGTAGGTGTAGGTGCCTACTAGGCACTGTAGATGCCCAGTGTGTCCCCACAATTCCCAGCTGTGTCCTTATGGTGGGTTAACCAGTGTCTGCCCTGAAGCCCTTCTGTCCCTGTTCCGGGTCATGCTCTTTTGGCCTCTCTACTGCAGGCACCACTTGGCTCCCAGCAGGCTGGGACAGGAGCTGTTGCAAACCTGGGACACATGGAGATGCCATGGCTCACCATGGATAGCTGGACCCTGGGACTGTTATGCACCTGGGGTCGCCAGACCCCCACAACAGGCAGACACTGGGGCTGTTGGGCACATGGAGCTGCTGGATCCCCAAGTCAGCCAGAACCTGGGGCTGCTGGACTTCCAGGGACTCCTGGGCACCTGAAGCTGCCAGACCACCAGGACAGCCAGATCCTGGGGCTGTCACACACCTGAGGTTACCAGACCTCCAGGATAGCCAGATCCTGGGGCTGTCAGGCACCTGAAGTTGCTGTGGACCCCCAGGTCACCTGGACACTGGGGCTGCTGGACCCCTAGGATAGCTGCATCCCAGTCCTGTTGCACACCTGGGGCTGCCAGATTCCCAGTCCCACTGGACATCTACAGGAGAGACAGACCCTGAGCCTGTTGGGCACCTGAGGCTGCTGGCCCCCAGGACAGCTGGACTCGGGGGCTCTCGGGCACCCAGGGCTGCTCGATCCCTGGAGCTGCTGGATCCCCAGGTCAGCCAGATCCCGGGGCTGTTGCACATGTGGGGCTGCCAGACGCCGGGGACAGCTGGGACCTGGGAATTCCAGACTCCCAGGGACTCCTGGGCCCCCGGAGCTGCCAGACCATGACAGCCCAACCCTGGGGCTCCTGGGCTGCTGGGCCCCGGGAGGTGCTGGATCCCCGGGACAGCCAGACCCCGGGGCTGCCGGGCTCCCAGGGACTCCCGCGGACCTGGAGCTGCCAAGCCCCCCCGACAGCCAGCCCTCCCGTGCTGCCGCCCCCCGGGGCCACCCGAACCGCGGAGCCGCTGGACTCCCAGGACTCCCGGGCACCTGGGAGCTACTGGACCCCTGGGCTGAACTGGGAGCCAGGGCTCTGCAGCCTTCCCCCGCCTCGGGACATCCGCCGGCCCCGCAGGGCTGCTGCCAGCGAGAGACCCCCGGCACCGTCGGGGCGGCGCTGCCCCACGGCTCG